CTTTTTACTGAAAATGAGCACATATCTTACAGGCATTTTCATATTCTTTCTGATGTTTTCACTCCAGTAAGTATTGGAAAAGTTGAAAATGGCACCTCATCTTAGGGGAATGCGAGATATTCCATGATGGCACATCAATCAAACATTTCTCTTTCAAAATTCAGAGAAGCTTCTCAAACAAAATTAATAATCACATTAAAACTACTATTAATAATAAATACAGATCTAGGCCATTCCAGTCCATCTAACCTACATGATGGATTCAGATGTATTTAATACTGAACTTTGCCTTGTCATACTTGTCACACAGTGAAGAAGAGATAGTGAGTCTCATCTTTTAGCATAAAAATTAAAGGGACAAAATAAGTCTTCTGGAAACTAAGTTTGCTTAAGTCTACTTAATAATCTGAGGCTCATTCAGTCTTAGCAGAATCTGAGAAGTAGAGACTGATGCAGACACAGATACCTCGATCAGTAAGAGATTAAGAACTGCAAAATTTATTATTTTTGTCTTTTATTTTATGTTGAAGAAAACTTCTGTCTTTTGTTTGCCTGTTTTTGGCATCTTTTTCAGGTTTATTTCTCTGTGAGAATTTTGATTAAAAATTTATGCTTATAGATAAGGTTGTCTGCAGGTAGTTTCACAACATTTGAACTTCTAGATCATTTGGGGGCAGATTTTCCCAGTTATTTAGATGCTGAACACTGCAGATGGGAGTCTACTGGGATTTTCCAAACCACTTAAACGGATAAGGCACTTAGTTCCCATTTAAATTAATTAACTGGGTTGAACAAGTTTCCCTTGACATTTTCGAAAGTTCTACCACTAAGTGTTTTATATCTACATAAATAATCTGTTTTTTGACTGAAGCTGAGCACCCAGGAGTTCCCTCTAAATCTGATGACAATTAGTGGTGTTCAGCATTTCTAAAAACTCTACAATATGCCTGGCTGTATGTTTCCTGATGTCTCAGGTGATTCTCCTTTTCTTTCTTGTATTTTAACACTTTTTGTCCTATAGTTCTTTTTGTCTAAAATTTATCTCAGTTTAGGAGTTGGTTCAGATAGAAGGTAATGACAGGGGTAGTCTCCTGATAAGATCTGGGAAGTCAGGTCCATTAGTATGCAACTCAGTGATGGAGAAAAATGAAGATCTTTAAGAGAACTGTAGTTGTGACTTGTACTGGATTTTCTTATTAAATTCATGTTATGTAAAATAATAGCTCAAAAATATATTACAGCAAAGGGTGCTGCATTTATGGATAACTGAGATGAACCTGGTCACCAGAAATAGCATGACTTTTTCAATCTTTAATTTTTGTGCTCGGTTGGTGCACATACAGAAAACCTTAGCAGATCTGTCTGGGTCTGACAAAAGGAAGTAGAGCTTACTGGGTGGTAGAGATCCCTCTACCCTTTATTCTGCCTCTGCTATAGCAGTGCCTAAGCAGCATTCTGAGGGTTTACAAACATTTCAGTTCGGGTTTTGATAGACTCTGTTTCTGAAATGAATCTACTTACTCTCACTTACCACATGGGCTCATGTTGCAGAGCAGGGCTCAGACCATGTGAAGTGGATTTCTTAGTCATTAATTTCAAATACTGATCAAAATAAGCATCGAATGATCAGAGCGATAGGCAAATTATAAATGTAGTTATAACCTGAGTTGTCATGGTGCATAGGCTCACAGAGATCCCCATGATGGGGGATGAAGAAGGGCAAGGATAGTTGTATCTTTGAATCCCTTACAGAATTAAAGCTAGTTAGTATCCTGCTCTTTCAGAATTTTCTCTCAGTTATTTTAGCCTTTTTCATAAACCACCTCAGTGCTATATGACTTGTTATCTACGCATTTGTGGCTCTCTCTTAGTGAACTTCGAATCACATACCATGTTCTGTATGAGAAAAGACAAAATGCACATTACTGAAATCTCTAAGAAAATTGTTTTTGTCAGTAGTGTTCTTATTGGTAGTGATACCACTGAGGATGGAAGGCCTGGGAAGCTGATGAAGGAAGAAGAGCATTGGAGGAAAGATGACTCTTAAGGGGATCTCTAATTTCAAACAATGACCAATATTTCTTCTCTTCTCTTTCTTATTAGAAAACACTAAAAAATAACATGAGCAGGAGCTCATAAAATGTTTTATTAAATTCTTTTTTCAGAAATGTAGGTCTGCCTAGAGCTCTAAGTGTAATTGTAGGTTTAGTCTAAGTCAATCAGACAAGTTTCTTTGTAAGAAAATTTGAAAACTCTGTAAAATTCATTTTCAAACCAGCCATTCATTTTAAATATTCTCTATTTGGGTTTAGAAACATTTTAAGCTTTCAGAGTTCATTCTGGTTTGGAAGATTTCAGGATTAACAGCAAATTGTGCTTTTATTCATAATTCAATTTAAAAAAAAAAAAAAAAAGTTAGGCTTATTTAACCAGTGAGTTTTCCAGTGTTCATAATGCTATGCAGCCATGCTGGAAATTATAACTTGCATGGTTTATATATCAGATCTATTAGAATAAAAATGGTAATATAAATCTTTGTTGTTGACCTTCTGAGAAATGAATTTATTATCAGTTGTTGCCAGTTGACCTGAACTCTGAAAGTATTGCTAGACAGGAAGAATTCTGAGGCATGTTTTTATTTTAAACCCTGTCAGGATGAAGGTGCCTGAAATAATGAATATTTGTAGAATAAAGGGAAAATGTTTTGCTCACCTCATGCATAGAAACTCTAAAAGATATAAATGCTTTTTTTTTGCACTTATCTAGGTTGTGGATCCATACAGTAAACATGGCTTTAGGGCACTTAATCCCAGATAAGAAACGCTATCGTCTTATGGCATCGAATGCTGATCTGGTACAAACTCACATTGTGAGTTCAAATTTGTTAAAAAATTGGATACCTTAAACTTATCCTTTTAGGCTTTCTGCCAGAGCAGATACTGCTTATCCATGCCACTTTAACTTGATGCTTGATTGGGTGTTGTGTATTTGCCCGATGGTCCTCTATTGTGCATTCTGATTTGACATATTTGCAATACTGTTCTTTTTTGAGTCATCTCAAACTTACTTACAGATCTCCATAAATGATCATGGCCTTATATTGCCCCCGTTATCATAGTATCTGACTAAATCTTGAGCTTTGAAGTATTTATCTTCATAGCAACACTGTGAAGGAGGGTAGGTCTTTGCTATCACACAGATTTCATCATAACATGTTTTCACTCCTGTCTTGTAGATTAAACACTAGGGCTTACATCAGCTTTGTGAATCCTGGTGATTAAAACCAGGAGATTGTAACAGAGGTGAATATTTTCTTAAAGTGTCAAGTGCTCTGCTAGAGCTCTACCAAGACTAAGTCATACAATTGGATGATTCTTATGTTTTTTTCTAGAACTTAATTACTTAAATGATGCAATATTTCACACAATTATCAAAATCCTCTAGGATGTAAATACATCTTTGTCTCAGTAGTTTTTGTAGGTTCAGAACTGATCCAAGCCCTGGATGGGATGATTATGGGGATTTAAATGGCTGTTCAGAGAACTTATTGTGTGAGTGTATTTCTTGCCCCCTCACTACTCTGCACTGCCCTTTGAGTGGGGCAACACAATAACAGAAAAGTCCAACTCTGTGCAGAAGTGGGGACAAAAGGCTTGGCAGTTTGTTCCTGTTCTGGTCACCCTACATGCTGGTGCTCTGATTTTCTGAGGAAGGCAAAGGAGACTAGGAATGTTACACTGTAACTTTCTCTTACATCTGCTGAAAAAAATACTGGGAGAAGTAAACTGTTAAGGCCAAAATTATTACTCCTGGGAGGCTGTCCCCATTCTGTCCTCCTCCAGAAGGAACTGAAAACATTCCTGACGCGTGAAGCTTTGTTATTGCTGTTTCATTTATAAATAAAATGTCCAAATTAAAGTGCTAAGTACTTAACAGTCAAAAACAAGCAGCCCCTTGTCCTTGAGTACTTACCACCTCACAGATGAGTAAAAGGTGGAATGTGAAAGCAGCACAGAGCGATCTGGTGCCTTTGCTCTGCAGACTGCTCTGGCTTAATCAGTGAGATTTCTTGCAGAGAACAGGTTTGCTCGGGGTGAGTTAGAGAGAACTGGGACCAAACTGAATGATAATATTTAGGAGGAGTTTCGTTAAGTCTGTGAGTCTCCTATTCAGATTTTATTTTGGGGTGCATACAGGAAGAATAGATAAGTGGATGAAAAATGTTGTTTTGTTAATACTCCATTGTGGAGAAATATGGGATTTTGCAAAACAAGACTGCATTGTGTGCATGCATTTTTTACTACAAATATTTCTGGAAATTTTAAATCAGTTGGACTGAAATGTAGCCGTGACATTTTTTTTTTCCATCATTATTATTCAGAAAGCAGTGTCTGCACATTTTTATTTTCTAGAAATGAAAACAAAACACTGTTGTGCATTTCAAATCTTGGCAAATGAAAAAGTATAAAATATCCAGGTGCTTGGAAGAGATGGTATTAAATCTCATATATACCGATCTTTTCTCCTGTTCTCTTTTTTTTTTTTTTCTGCCAGAGTTGATGCATGGAGATTTTAATCTGTCCCTTTACTGTACCAGAAAATAATTTGAAACTCAAACAGTCCTATTTTGTAGTTAAATGTTTGAGAACTACTGATATTTATATTTGCATGCAATTAGCTTTCAAAGCCCTGCGTACAGGGCCTTTTGCTTTTAAACTAACCCAGAGTCAATAAATATCTTTACAAATGTCAATTTGGTCAGTAGTAAAGAGGTAAATAGAAACTAATGACACTCATCAAGCCTGTGGCATGAATGATTTATTGGACACAATCAGTTAACACTTTCATAAAGTCAATACAAGGAAAAGAAACAGGTTTCTTGTTATGGTAAGCTGTATTTGTACTGTCAGCATGTAGTGATTTATGACAAACCTGTGGCCAGGATTAGGATATTATAAATGGGGGAAAATAGAAGGCTCATTAATTTTTTATACCCACAGGTAGAAGACATGCAGTGGGCTAATAGAGAACACACTCATCCAGCATCTGTCTGCAGCCTGCCCTGTAAACCTGGGGAAAGAAAGAAAACCGTAAAGGGAGTGCCTTGCTGTTGGCACTGTGAACGCTGTGAAGGGTACCATTACCAGGTGGATGAATTCAACTGTGAACTGTGCCCTATTAATAAGAGACCAAATGCCAACCGTACAGATTGCCAGCTTATCCCTATAATCAAACTGGAGTGGCATTCTCCTTGGGCCATTGTGCCTGTCTTCATAGCTATTCTTGGAATAATTGCTACCACCTTCGTAATCGTGACTTTTGTCCGGTACAACGACACTCCTATTGTCAGGGCATCTGGACGGGAGCTCAGTTATGTGCTCTTGACTGGGATTTTTCTCTGTTACTCCATTACTTTTTTAATGATTGCAACTCCTGATACAGTAGTCTGCTCATTTAGAAGGATCTTTTTAGGACTCGGCATGTGTTTCAGCTATGCTGCCTTGCTTACCAAAACAAACAGAATTCACAGAATATTTGAACAAGGTAAAAAATCTGTCACAGCTCCCAAATTTATTAGCCCAGCTTCCCAGCTGGTGATCACTTTCAGCCTCATATCCATGCAGCTTATTGGAATCTTCATCTGGTTTGCTATCGATCCACCACATATCATAGTAGACTATGGAGAGCAGAGGACACTTGAACCAGAAAATGCCAGAGGAGTTCTCAAATGTGACATTTCAGATCTTTCTCTCATTTGTTCCCTTGGATACAGTATTCTCTTGATGGTCACATGCACTGTTTATGCTATTAAAACAAGAGGGGTTCCAGAGACCTTCAATGAAGCAAAACCCATTGGATTTACTATGTACACAACCTGCATAATTTGGTTAGCTTTTATTCCAATCTTTTTTGGTACGGCCCAATCAGCAGAGAAGGTAAGTGATAAGTTTATTAATCAAATATTGTCTTCCTTACAATTTTATCTGGCGATTTTTATAATATCACAATACTTTCACTCTTACAAGATATGAATTTTGAATACTAATTCTGAATACAAACTCTTGAAATCTACAGATAGTAAAGTACATGATTCAAAAGGTAAGATTCTTATGTTTTATGGCAAGTTTTTGAATGTGACTGTGGTATCTGTGGCCTAATGATTTTGACATTTTTTCAGTATATCCTTACTTTAAATAACTGTTTCTACTAATGCTTGTTATTACCCTTCCATGATGCTCCAGTCTGTTACATAAAAACCAATAAATCTTTGCTAGTGCTTGTTATTACCCTTCCATGATGCTCAAAAACCAATAAATCTTTGCTATTATCCACAAATCTGATAGAAATGGTTACATTTCAAAAATCTGAGAAGATCAACTTACATTTGTCAAAAATAATGAAGAAAAATGTCTGGGAAGAATGAAAAGAATTTCTTTTCCTCTGGTTAATGTAACATGTAACTAAAAAAGGATAGAGGGAGTGAATGAAGAAGACATAAAATCATGTTAAGCATAAATCATTAAATATTAGAGGAAAAAAATATTTCTCTGGTCTTTTAATGAGAAATTTAACCTTTTATTTTTGGATATCTGTTCTTCCTTGTTCAGATGACACGGTTCTTTTCAGATATCAGTCATGGTGAGCTATATAAAACATAGCAGACATTTAACTCATATGCTCTCAGTTCTAATGGGAAGACACAGATAAATGTCAACTGTATGGGTTTCTATCCAACTGATATTGGGTAATACGATGATTTAGTTAAGAAAGCACAATAAAAACAGTGCCAGTCTTCAAGACTGTTTGAAAAATCTTTAAAATGAGAAATATAACCCCTCTCCCTTTACCTCTAGCAGGCATTTTTTATAATATTTTAGATTAATATATAAATATTTAAATTAATTTTTATGAAAAAGCTCAGCATATGTCTACTGATAACTGAGCAAAGGTTTAATGTATCCCCCTTGCCTGCAGAATTAAATAGGTTTTTGTAGCTTGATAAAGCACCTGATATTTCAAGCAAAGGGATATGTATAGAGAAGACAGCATGACAGAAAATAAACATTTTTTTCGCTAAAAATCAAGGTAAGCAGACTCACTGAATTGAATCAGGCTTGATTTACATCACCTTTCAAATAAAGTCAGGGGAAGTTTATGACAAGTTGAGTACCAAGGTAATGGCGCATCAGAAAGGAGTAAGTAGAAAAAATCTATCTGATATGGGAAAAGTCGTTCAGCTGAATTGTATTTAGTTTCTGACTTTTTTGTACAGGCTCAAGTCAAAAAAGACTTTGGCATATAAAGACGCAGTACTTTTCACTTGAAAAGATTCCACTTCAGATTCCACAGTTAGTTTTATGGCAAGTACCTATAACAGAACAGCTCTTTTTCTGAATATTGATACATAGAAAATATTACTTGGCTGGCAACTGTGGAGTAGGTGTTTATTTATGCTACTGGTTCACTTTAGTTTTTAGTAAAGGATGACTTGATTTTGACCTCTAAAATAAGAGATTAATGAACACCTCTATTGGGATTCTCTTATGAAATCCAAGAGTGAACACACATATACAAAATGACACAATTTCTAACACTAAATTTCACTTGTTAGCTGCCTTTTTTTTCTAAATGATTTGTTTTTCTTCAGATAATGACTTTCAGGAGGGAAAGAAAAAACAAATTAATATGCTAATACGATAGTTTTGTAATTCAAATAATTCTTTTTGCAGTGCTTCTACTTTTTTCGTACAAATAAGAACATGTTTCCACACAAGGTCTTATGCACAGCATCACACTAGCTCATGCAGTTGTACAATTAAATTACTCATCTGAATGGAATAAAAATGCAAAAACTTAGTGCACACATATATGTGTTGTCTGAATATAGTCAAAGTTGCTTATCCTTTTCTTAGTTAATACACATAATGTAAAGAAGCATTAAAAATAATACATTATAGAATGTCTTAATTGAATTTGGTTATTACAATCATTTCTTGAAGATCAAAGAAATAAAAGAAATGAAAAGGGGGCATAAACTAAGTAGGCTTTTCTTAGATTCATTTTGCAGTTGATTTTAGAGACCCAAGATTATTTTTTCATATAGCTTAAGTTTATTCAGAGAGAAATGAACAATAAATAGAGGAATTTAAAGTACTTTAAGTGTAGTGGGTGCATTTTTCAAATGCTAACAGTAATAAAATGTAACATCATTATTCACATGTTGTTCCAGCTTGTATTGCATTGTCTTTTAGCTTTAAACACACTTCTGTTTGAATAAAAAGTTGTCAAAGCTTCTCCAAAATGTTTTGGGACCATTTGTTTCCCAACAGAATTCATAATAAATGGTGGAAATCATTATGTATGTTTGGAAAGTCAGAGTTTATTTATTTATTTTGCTAGTCATGAACACGATTTGAATTCCCAGCTGGAATATTTCCATCCATAGCATCTTTAAATAAATCCTAAAAGTGAGCAGGTATCCATATCCAAATCTCTCATATTAATGGAAAGATCACTTTTGCATTTAGGTACCAGTTCCTAAAATGCAAAGTCACTAAGAGATCCTGGATAAAATGTAGAGGTTCCATAGCTGGTTCAAGACAATAAGCTGAGTTGGTGTGCCTCAAACTTAAAAAGTCATGTTATTAAAGACATGATATTAAAGATGCCATTCTGGTTATTATTTCTGCAGAAGCTCTGGCGAGAACAGGAAGAGCACAGCCTTTAAGACCTGTGTGATTGCCCAATTCATAATTTTGTATGTTCATTATTATTCCATTTTGACAACTACTATTGTAAGAAGAGGAACACACTATAAATAGTTAAATTATTCCCGCACATCACTGAACAGAATGAATAAAAAAAATTGCCCCAAGACATAAACTACTGAATTCCTAACACTTGTGTAAATGTCACTGAGGTGTTTTAAGGAAAAGGAGTGAAATTCCGCAAGACATTATTCTGTCAATACAGTTTTCAACTACATGTATGGCAAAACATTTGAAATGTTGGGCTCATCTGGAATAAAGATGTTTTAAATGTCATGATGACTGGAATGTCACAGAAAAGAATGAAATTAGCTGAGTGATTAAAACAGATGTTTTATGAACCTCTGGGTAAAATTAAGCTACAACAGCAGACTGCACAAGTGCCGACTGAGGATAGATGACTGTCTGAAGTACACCCATACTCAACAAAGAACTACTTTAATTTCCTTGCATTACTTCTTTACGAGCTTTGGCAGGTGGATGAATCATGCTTGTTCACAGATAATAAAGACATCATTTATTATATTAACCTAGAAGTGTTCTGTTTTGAATGAGTAGATGAATGTATGTTTCCTAGCCTGCAAAAGACAGGAGGCAGTGCTTTTCGATAAGGAAAGAGGGCCATAGAAAACACTGACTAATTTCTTCCCTCTCCTCCCACCGGAAGCAATTGCAAAAGGTAATCTAATGAGGCAGATAAATGTTAACATATTTTCCAATTATTCTGACAAGTTTGATCTTCCCTTTCACAGCTGCAGTGTAGACTAAACAAGATGCAATGTATCTTTTTTTCCTATAAAGTATTATCTTTCTAATCTTACAGCTGTTTACACTATGAATTTGCTGATCATGTGAATCTCTTATGCATCTGCTAGTAGCACTACAAGAAGCTAGAAATACTTCTATTAGTATCCTGATACCAATTTGACTTGTAAGCCGCTACTGCAGTTGTCAAGAGATAGATAATCAATTCTCAGTGGGCGAGAGAGGTCGTTCCATCACATGATGGAGTAAGCATAGCAAAGCTAATAATGAGAATTTGGATAGAAACCCCTAGCTTCTCCTGAATTTCTGAAGATGTAAAGCAATTTTTTAAATTAATTCCTAGCTAAATATGCTTCTGGGACTGTAAGAAAACAAAATTGCCTAATGACATCTCAGACTGTATTAAAGAAGCAGACTACATGGAGCATTTTCTTCATCTCAAAGTATTGTCTTCTAATTCTAGGATATTCAGAGATCTATTTCTGCAGGTAGTCCATGCAGTACACTTCACAGAGAAAAACAACAAAAAACCTCACAACTGTTAGTAAGAAGGCCAAATGTTAGTGTATCTTTTATGAATAATATTTGGTTTGATTTAACTAGAATCTTTAGTGTCAGCACTATGTATAGCATCACGGTTAATCCAAGGACATTTGGAACATTTTATAATTCATATTTTTGCAAGATACAATTAAGAGACTGCCAAAGTGATGTTTTACACATTCATTAGTTTATCAGTCTTCAAAACCCATAATTTCCATGGCGCTATTGCTAAATTTATCATTACTTGAATTGCTATCACTTGAGTTTTTTACGTTTTACAACATAGAAAATATAGACATTCATTGGCCTATGCTTCATCTAAAGAAATGATAGGTATAGCCACCCTGTTCTTTCCTCCCCAGACTTCTGAGGAAATGTAAGAGAAAGAGAAGTATTCACATTGCTCCTGAATGGTTGCATAAACTGCAAAAGTTTCCCCTTCTATGAGAAAACAGTTAAATATATGTGTTCTTCCATTTCAAAAATCACAACATTTCATAATTTGTTTCTTAAATGTGGAAAAATTGTCCTGTCTCCATTTGAATCAAAAATGGAAACACTAGAATAAGCTGATATTGAGACAAGAATTACACAAAGATTTGTTTCAATATTGTGGACATTTAAAGAACTTGTTTCACTTTCAACCTTTTAAAGTTTTTAAGTCTAAATTGAAATTTGGTAGAAGAAGCAATTCTGATATCAAAACAGCAGCATTTCATAACTTTTAAAGTATTCCTAAAACACTCATCAGAATATTTCTGACCAGCTCTTTGGCTTTCTCAGCAAATAAACTATGGTATACTGTAATCATATTGGGTAAGATAAACTAACAGATCAGAAGAGATTACTGTAGTCACCTA